GCGTAGAGTACTTCACCCGCTGGCCCATGGCGTGGCCACTCGCCAACCAGTCGGCTGCGGCAGTGGCGGACGCCTTTGTCCAAGGTTATGTTTTGGACAAAGGCGCCCCCGAACGCTTGCTGACGGATCAAGGAAAAAACTTTTCGAGTTTTTTGTTGCGCGAGGTGTGCGACCTGTTGGGTACAAAGAAAGTACGTACCTCCCCGTACCACCCGCAGACTGACGGTATGGTTGAACGTCTGAACAGGACGATTACGTCTATGCTGTGCCAACAGGTATGCGACGACCAGGTGGATTGGGACTTACAGGTACCGGGGGTACTAGCGGCCTATCGGATGGCACCCCATGCGGCGACGGGGTTTTCTCCATTTTTTCTGATGTATGGGCGGGAGGCTGATCCGGCCATGGACGTCCAACTGGGGATTTCACAGCCACGTGCTAAATCAAAATTGGCAGACCACATTAAGTTTAACATTGCCAAATTGGCTGAGGCGCGAGAGGCTGCGAGATTGAATTCACGCTCTCGGCAGATCGCGAACGAGCGATTGCATGAACGGAAGGTGCATACGCACAATTGGGAACCGGGCGATAAGGCCTGGCTGCATTGTCCACACGCACCGTTGGCTACGTCCCCCAAACTGTTGAGACCATGGAGGGGACCGGTGGAAATTGTGCGGGTTGCACGACCCCAGAGTATACAGATTAAATGGGGAAAACGCCGTTGGTACGTGCACCCCTCCCGACTGAAACCCTACGCGGCGCCGCGTGACCCCGGGTTGTGCCGTGACGACCGAGCGTGTGATGTGACCGTCGACTCGGGGAGGGATGTGTCGCAGGTTGATCCTCACGTGTCTCCACCTGACCCACCCCCAGGTGTCTCGGACCTGACGGCTGTTGACCGTCGGGAACCGGAACCCCGCGGCTCGCGCGGAGTCCCGATGCCTGGCCCATGCCTTCCTGAACGGCCGGCGCCGCCGGATGGCCAACTGCGTCCTGTGCCGTACGACGGTCCGGCAAGGCGGACTCGGGCAAGGACGCAACACTTTTCATGAAAAGAAAAGAAAAAAAAAAAAAAGAAAAAAAAATGTTTTTCTTTTTTTTTGTTAAAGCCCGACTTCGTTGCCGGCTTCCCCCTCTGCCGGGGTAATGTCCCGTTCAAGGGACGCTCGGACATTGGGACGCTGCATGAGTCGGAGAGAAAAGAAGAGAAAATGATTAAAGAAATTTTTTTTTATTGTTACTCTTTCCGCATACACAGTATCGTTGCCATTCGCCGGATTGTGCATGTTGTTCTTGTTGCGGGTGTGGCGGTTGCTGGGTTTTGCGGATTGCGGTGTTCATGTTGTGTTGTTAGGGTTTGTGTTATGTTACGGGGCACACGTGGGGGTGAAGGGGTGTTGTATGTTTTATTAGCAGCCGGGTCGGCTGCGAGCTATGTGGTAGGGGGTGATGTAGTGGTGGTATTGACATGCGCCGGCAGTGATGGATCACGGGGCGCGGGGTTGGGCACGCGATGTGGGCGTGGCATGGACGCGCGCGCCGGTGGTGAGGCGCGCTCACACAAGCTGGGAAAAGAGGATCGTAGCGAGTGTGCAGTGATTGGTCAGATAAGTGGGTACTCTCAGCGACGTCCGCAGGAGGGGTATAAAGGGGGACGCGCGAGAGCACTCGTGGTCAGTGTTAACCAGTTGAAGACCGAAGACGGGGTGGAGGAGGTAGGGGCCCTGTGTGGCTCGGAGCCGAGACTGGGGGGACCGTAGTCCGACGCCCGTGTGGGTCGGGACGGTGGTACCCAGAGCCGAGACGGGCACCCCGGCTGGGTGTGTCCCGGAAGGCTACAGGGCGTAAGAGCCCGTGTCAGTACAGCTGAGTGGGTGTTGGTCACCCGTGTAGCTGAGTGGGTGTTAGTCACCTGTGTAGCTGAGTGGGTGTTGGTCACCCGTGTAGCTGAGTGGGTGTTAGTCACCCGTGTAGCTGAGTGGGTGTTGGTCACCCGTGTAGCTGAGTGGGTGTTGGTCACCCGTGTAGCTAAGTGGGTGTTGGTCACCCGTGTAACGAAGTTGTAGCTGAGTGGGTGTCCGTCACCCGTGTAGCTAAGTGGGTGTTGGTCACCCGTGTAACGAAGTAGGGTGTTAGTCATCCGTGTAACTACAAGTTGGCGAAAATAAAGAGTGTGCTACCCGTGAAGTCGTCTCCTGCCGAGTTACTACTTTACACAAGCAAGCAAGCAAGCGAACTTAATATAAAGGATTTAAAAATAGCCGAGGTCGCCTACCCCTACCCTCTTTGCGATCTTACATTCACTTGCAAATTCCATCCCTAGCCCCGCCCACCTACCCTTGGGTTGTACCCACCACAAAAGTTGGTTGCAGTAACTCTCTCGCTACATTTCCTCCTCGGCAGTCCGCCTGCTGTGTTGTTTCACCTGAAGACGGTGGCTTGTGTGGCTATCGAAACGTCGTGATCTATTAGTTAAAACCTCGATTTAAAGCTTTCGTGACTGCAGGGATTCATCTTCTTGGTTCTTTCGGTAAAGTCACGTAGAAGGGAAGTAATAAAATAATAAAAATAAAACATAATAAAACAATTCTCACGACGTTTCGGCCACAACGCAAGCAGCCGTCCTCAGGTGAAGTTATTTTTTTATATTCTTGGTTCTTTCGGTAAAGAAAATTTGAAACTTTTAAAATCCTTTATATTAAGTTCGCTTGCTTGCGTGCTTGCGTGCTTGCTTGCTTGCTTACGACCGTGCAAATCTTTCGGTCGTTTTCTAACCCACTTCCCGTGATCTAATCGAGCTGACATTTTGCACACAGACTCGTTGTGCGAGACAATTAATGTTCGTGAAAAAAAAAAATTCAAAAATTTTACACTGTTTAGGGAAAACAAATTAAATATTTAATTACCAATTGCTTAATACTGGCACACAATCATGTGACCCATAGGTCGCAGCCATCTCAAGCCAGAGGACGAGAGGACTCTAGCCGCCACGCATATAAAGGATTTATAGTGAAAAACTTTGTTTTTACGGGTTATACTTGTTTCAAATTTTCTTGCCGTGGATTTCACACCTGATGATGATTGCTTGTGTTGCAGTCGAAACGTCGTGAGAATTTTTCTTGTTTTATATTATTTTATTTCCCTTCTACGTGACTTTACCGAAAGAACCAATAATATGAATCCCTGCAGTCACGAAAGCTTTAAATAAAAATGTAAGGTATATTTTTATTTTAAAACATTTTTTCATTGATATGATTTCTTCCCATGTTTTCCCCATAATACTCGAATTGCAAAACGTCGTAGTGGGTTTACTCTCCAGAACACCGGTTTGTGCTGAACTAGTGACGAATCGGCACATTCTGTTTACGCGACAAACCTTACTAAGTGTCCGTGTCGGGTTGTGGCGGGTTTAACGACACTTTCATATTTACGCTATCTCACCCAAAACAACCTCTGTTGTGTGTTACATTGGTCATGAACGCCTCCTACTACTACTACCACCACGTGTTCAACTTTTTGTATTTTTTTCTCTGATGTTTTACGTCTGTCACGGACACGGTGTGTGACACGCGAATTCACAGCATCTTAGCTCACAGGGCTCTTCAGATTGAACTGAAACTGAACCTTACTGCTGCCGCCGCCGCTGCCGCTGCTGCTACCGCTGCTAGTACTGCTGCTACTGCTGCTGCTACTACTGCTACTGCTAGTACTGCGACTACTGCTGCTGCTACTACTACTGCTGCTACTGCTACTACTGCTGCTACTACTACTACTGCTGCTACTACCGCTGCTACTGCTGCTACTACTACTGCTGCTACTACTACTGCTGCTACTGCTACTACTGCTGCTACTACTACTGCTGCTACTGCTACTACTGCTGCTACTACTACTACTGCTGCCGCTGCTGCTACTACTACCGCTGCTACTGCTACTACTGCTGCTACTACTACTGCTGCTACTACCGCTGCTACTACTACTACCGCTGCTGCTACCGCTGCTAGTACTGCTGCTACTGCTGCTACTACTGCTACTACTACTGCTGCTACTACTGCTACTACTACTGCTGCTACTGCTACTACTGCTGCTACTACCGCTGCTACTGCCGCTGTTGCTACTACTGCTGCTACTGCCGCTGCTACTACTACTGCTGCTACTACAGCTACTACTACCGCTGCTACTGCTGCTATTACCGCTAGTGCCGCTGCTGCTACTGCTGCTGCTACTACTACCGCTGTTACTGCCGCTGCTACTACCGCTGCTGCTACCGCTGCTACTGCCGCTGCTGCTACTACTGCTGCTACTACTGCTACTACTACCGCTGCTACTGCTGCTATTACCGCTAGTGCCGCTGCTGCTACTGCTGCTGCTACTACTACCGCTGCTACTGCCGCTGCTACTACCGCTGCTGCTACCGCTGCTACTGCCGCTGCTGCTACTACTGCTGCTACTACTGCTACTACTACTGCTGCTACTACTACTGCTGCTACTACCGCTGCTACTACTACTACCGCTGCTGCTACCGCTGCTAGTACTGCTGCTACTACTGCTACTACTACTGCTGCTACTGCTACTACTGCTGCTACTACCGCTGCTACTGCCGCTGTTGCTACTACTGCTGCTACTGCCGCTGCTACTACTACTGCTGCTACTACAGCTACTACTACCGCTGCTACTGCTGCTATTACCGCTAGTGCCGCTGCTGCTACTGCTGCTGCTACTACTACCGCTGTTACTGCCGCTGCTACTACCGCTGCTGCTACCGCTGCTGCTGCTACTGCCGCTGCTACTGCTGCTACTACTGCTACTACTACTACTGCTGCTACTGCTGCTGCTACTACTACCGCTGCTACTGCCGCTGCTACTACCGCTGCTGCTACCGCTGCTACTGCCGCTGCTACTACCGCTGCTGCTACTGCCGCTGCTACTGCTGCTGCTACTGCTGCTGCTACCGCTGCTACTACCGCTGCAAGGGTAACCAACCACGGCGTGTCACACCGCAGCCGGCGGCAGAGGTCGGAGCGGACGTCCACGAGGCGGCGGGAGAGGCGGCGGACGCGAGCGGGAAGGAGCCGCAGGGCTTCTTCAGCTTCCTGAAGAAGGTGCGTGACCACCTGCTGGCGGGGACACACAGACAAAGATACCCCGTGTAGCCTGCGACGGACTGTTGGGGCAAGTGCTGTTAGCGAGCGGCACCTATGAAGGCCGGCACGGCACACGAGGGGGTGGCCAGCACCACGCCCGGCCGCCTTTGTCTCCCGAGTGGTGATGTTTAAACATCGCACCAGGTACTCATTTGAGGCTGAGTCGACCTAGGGGAGCCATAGGACCGGTTCTGATCATCGTCACTGGTGTTGGCCTTGAGCAGGAATCGAACTCGGGTCGCCGGGTTCGTAGCGCAGCGTAGCGCTGACTGCTACACCACCGCTCCCGCACACACAAAGATCCCCCGTGTAGGCTTAACAGACTGTAGGGGCAAATGCTGTTAGCGAGCACCTATGAAGGCCGGCACTGTGGCACACGAGGGGCTGGGTGGCCAGCAGCACGCCCGGCCGCCTTTGTCTTCCCCAGTGACGATGTTCACACATCGCACCAGGTTACTCGTTTGAGGCTGAGTCGACCTAGGGGAGGCATAGGAACGGTTCTGACCATCGTCACCGGTGTTGGCCCTCGTGTGACCTCCCCTCCTTCATGCGCCCCTCCACGTACCTTTACACCCTCCCCCTCTCCCGTGCGTCCCCCACCTCCCCCCTGGGCCCCCCTGGGCCCCCCCCCCCTCCCCACCCCGTGCACCCCCCCCATCATGCGCCCCCCCTCCACCCCCCCCCCACGCGCCCCCCCCTCATGCACCCCCCTCTCCACCCCACCCCCTCCACCCCCAGGGTTCCAGCGACATGACGGACGGGGCGGGCCACAGCGGCGGGCTGCTGCGGCTGCAGTCGGTGAGCCTGCAGGAGCCGGCGGACGAGGGTCTCCCCTCCGACTCCGCGTCCCTCTCCGACGCTCGCTCCTCTTCGGCCGCGTCAGCCGCGGCCTTCGGGGGCTTCTTCAGGTCCATGGTGAGCGCGCGCGTGCGTGTGTGCGTGTCCACGTGCGTGCGTGCGTGCGTGCGTGTCCACGTGCGTGCGTGTCCACGTGCGTGTCCACGTGCGTGCGTGCGTGCGTGCGTGTCCGCGTGCGTGCGTGTCCACGTGCGTGTCCACGTGCGTGTCCACGTGCGTACCCGCGTGCCCGCGTGGAACTTCTTTCGCACCGTACGTAGCCGGCCGTGCCCATCGGAGGGCGCGGGTAAAGCCTGCCGTGGGAGCCGTTTGCTTATTTTCCTTTTTGTGTCGATTCCACGTCAAGTCCGGGCCACGTGCACCGCCGGACGGGGGGGTAGAGTCGGTTGTTTCAAGTTTTCAAGTTTCATGTATTAGGTATAAGCCCTGTGAGCCATGCGGCTCTTGAGTCGGGTGCAACCGCAACAAACTAAATATGAACTGTGAACACCTTAAAGCGACGACGCGCAACAGAAACATCCTGGATAAACCAGCAAATCTTCCAAAGGGCAGCAGAGGTGGGGGCAGGGTGAGCGGGGAGGGAAGGGCAGGGAGGCCTGGACAGACGTCCCCCGAGACGGACAGAGGAGGCTCAAGATGAGCGGCAGGGAGAGAGTGAACATCGCCACTGGGGAGACAAAGGCGTCCGGCCGTGGTGCTGGCCACCCAGCCCCTCGTGTGCCGTGCCGGCCTTCGTAGGTGCTGGGTTCGATCGCGTAAATATATAAATGTGTCGTTAAACCCGCCACCTCCCGACACGGCCAACTAGTAAGGGCTGTCACGTAAACAGAACGTGCCAATTCGTCACTAGTACAGCACTAGTGTGTAGTATAGTGTATAGTGAAGTGTATAGTGTAGTGTATAGTGTAGTGTATAGTGTAGTGTATAGTGAAGTGTATAGTGTAGTGTATAGTGTAGTGTATAGTGAAATGTATAGTGTAGTGTATAGTAGTGGAGTGTATAGTAGTGTAGTGTATAGTGTAGTGTATATTGTAGTGTATAGTAGTGTAGTGTGTAGTAGTGTAGTGTATAGTAGTGTAGTGTATAGTGTAGTGTATAGTGCAGTGTATAGTAGTGTAGTGTGTAGTAGTGTAGTGTATAGTGTAGTGTATAGTAGTGTGTAGTGTAGTGTGTAGTAGTGAATTGTATTGTAGTGAAGTGTATAGTAGTGTAGTGTATAGTAGTGTAGTGTATAGTGTAGTGTATAGTAGTGTATAGTGAAGTGTATAGTAGTGTAGTGTATAGTAGTGTAGTGTATAGTGTAGTGTATAGTAGTGTAGTGTATAGTGTAGTGTGTAGTGTAGTATATTATTAGTACAGCACACCGGTGTGTTGGAGAGCCAAGCCACAACATTTACAATCTGAGTTACGACGTTTCACCAGCAATTACAACCAGCTTCATCAGGCAACAGCCAGATTTGTGGAGAAGTCCACCTGGTTCGTTCCTTATACAGAGGCGTAG